AAGGCCCAACGGTTCCTTTTCTACTGAAATTGCATGTTCAAACTCAGCAGCTGTTTTCCTCACAGGCACATGTTTTTTTAACTTTTTTTTTGCCTTTGGGAACTCAAAACCTGCCGCATCTGTACTCGTTACTTTTGTCGTTTCGGTGGAGGGTTGGGGAGGAGAGAGGGCGTCGTTAGACACTCCTTATGTGTTCCTTGAGCCACAACGAATTTTCGTAAGGAGAGAGATCCTCGGTAATGGGTTGGGGAGAAGGGAGGGGGAGGAGAGAGATCCTCTAGTATTCCGTTCGTTGAATCACACAGGTTCTCAGTGTACTTGAATCTTGAATTGCTGACATGCGAAGGGATCGGGAGATAGCCGGTTGACATCATATGAGGGAATAATGCACACAGATGACATAGGCAGTGTTTGCACTGCACACATATGTTTACACAGCTTTTACAAAACCTTTGAGAAGTACTTCCCTGTGCAGAGTCTGCACTGCACCGAAGAAAAAACAAGTCGCAGATGGAGACCTGGGCACACCTGGGACCCAGGTGCTCTTGCGGCCCTGCCCTCTGCCATTCCCTGTGCAGAGTCTGCACTGCACCGAAGAAAAAACAAGTCGCCCCGCCGCCCAAAACGATGAATTTGCCAATTGCACGGTAACCCTTCCGCGATATTCGTCTCCATCAACAGCCCTTGCATGTCCCCTCCGCCTGATGCCTCGCCATTGCTTACCAGCGCGGACTGAACAATTCGGTGCAAACTTCCTCCCTGCTCACGCTTCGCCATGGACCTTCGTCATCCGAGGGCCTTCGACGACACCTCAACCCCTAATTGGCACGCAGCAGACCACCGCCACTGCCACACAGCCAATCCGGCAAAAGGGTTAGGGCCTCGATCGACACCACTTGAAAATACTTTCTAGGGCGCCCTAAATGAGAAATTGGGATTCACTAACACTAACTGGATTTATGTTTCCACATGCATGCACTTGAGGAAACCCTTGAACAGGATCTCTGCACTTGAAACCGAAACCCACGGCTTGCTGACCAATCCTGGACCTTTTTTTTTGCCTGCTGGAAAAAGAGAAAAACAAAAAAAAAGGCCCACTCGAAGTGTTCGGCGGTATCCCGTGGCACTTGAATTCAAGGGACCTCCTGGAGGTACCTTGAGTTCAAGTGCGATTTAGGCCCAGCGGCACTTGAGAGTTTCAAGTATGCACACTTGAGAGCAGGAATTCAATGTGAAAACATTACGGCGGGGTCATTAGGGAGCGGGGTGGAACGAAGAATTTGCCGTCAATCCTCGAGTTGAAGTGGTGTGGAACGAGGCCCTTAGGATGGGAGGCAGGTAGGGGTCACAGCTTATTAGGGACAAGCCCACAATGTAATAATAATAATTGACTGCAGGTAGGGGTAAGTTGGGTAACAGCTTTTTTTTTTTTTTTTTTTTTTTCCCCCCCCGCTTATTAGGGACAAGCCCTACAATTTGAAAACAAAGTCCAAAAGGCATTACATCTCGAAGTGTCAGGACTCAGAAGTCGTCCATGGCAGAGATGCCTCTCTACAGTTGGCGCTACTGGCCCAACGCTAATCAGGCTACTGTTACATGCTGTGCCTGCAACAGGCTGCACGGGCGACTTTCAGGCCCGTGAAGTTTTCAGGCCAAAAGCCTGAAAACAAGGGCCAACAGACCCCGTGTCGTTTCAGCCTGAAAGCCTGAAAACAAGGGCCGACAGGCCCTGTGTCGTTTCAGCCGAAATCAGGGCCTTTCCGGCGCTGAGTCTTTTCAGCCTGAAACTGAGGGCCGTTTTCAGGCGCTCATGAGTTCGGCCTGCCCCGAAACTCAGGCACCAAACCAGGGTTTTGAGCTCAGGCCATTTTTGGCCTATTTTCAAGAAAACCTTCGTTTGAGCTTCAACCCCAGGGTCTGGCACGTTTTGGCATTGGCAAGAACAGCCTCCTGGACGGGCCAGCACTATAAAGGACTGGCCCGCCCTGCAGGCTGCAGGTAGTTCCTAGGTACTTCCCAGGCACTTCACGTGCAGTTCAGGAGGCAGGAGGTAGTCTTCAGGATTCGGCAGCAGCACTCTGGAGGAGCGCTGCAGTAGTAGTAGTAGCGTTAGCAGTAGTCTTCAGCGCTGGGCGCTAGTAGCGTTAGCTGTAGTCTTCAGCGCTGGGCGCCATAACTAGAGTAGTACTATAGGGAGAGAGATTGGGCGGAGGCCAGAGGTACTTACCTGCAGCGCCATCGTCTTCGTCTTCAAGGTACCTGCAGCACAGCGCCACCTTCACAGGTTAGTACCTGGCACATGAGAGAGAGAGGGTTCTTCTTCTTCCTCTTCTCAGTCCACCATCTCCCTCTCACCCTCTCGATATCTGACTTCACTTCATCGGCAGACTATGTGTGTGTGTGTGTGTGTGTGTGTGTGTGTGT